GTTCATCTTCGATGTGATTGCCTCACAGATTCTTTCCTTGACAGACACATTATAATAATAACAACCACATTCAATCAGTGTGTGGATTGTCGACATTGATCTGATAGATTTTTGTCACTAAAATGAAAAAAAAACTCTATGCTGCAGTGCTTTTCAAAAGAGGATCGGAAGCCTTACGGCCTTCAAATGAAATGACCTAGGCATTTTTTCATCTGACTGATTCATTTCACAAATTATTAGGACGGAATATTATGTATAGTCCTTATGAATTTGTTAATGTTTCGTTTCTCAGATCATGTTGTTGTTGTGCAGTGGATGTCTCGGTTGTGTGGCTGGAAAGGTGCAATCCGAATGTGTGGTAAGATTCTCACATTATCACCTCATTTATGTATTACATTATCAGAGAAGCTAAAGTCAACGTATAGTGGTGGCTTGGGATCGAATTCAGTTGCTAACTTCAGCTTCGCTTCATTCAAAACATATTGTCTCTACAGATTGTATCGTACCTGGTTCTGTCTACTCTGACATTTTTGGTATCCAGCATCGCCGTGGTCCAGTGTGCTATTCTTATTTACATCGTGGTTGGTGAAGACGTAGATGGATTAGAACATGCTTATGGCAGTACTTTCACCGCGGATTTCTCACTCGCCGATGCCGTTACAGTAAGTATCATCTATATAACAAACAAACAAACTATCAAACTCTGCAGTCAATATCCGCGATAGACATGAGAGGATGAGTTTATGTAAATCTTGGTGCGTCTTATTTTGTTTTCAGAGCCCACTTATCATTTACACGCTGACTCTGATTTGCAGTCTTGGCGGTTTCATATTCGGTTTGTTCTCAATGTTTATAGCCTGCAAAGCCGCCTGCACTCGATCTAAAATTGATACGGTAAGTTACTAAGCTTGTGACGTCACATGCCAAACATCTTACTCTCACCGTGACGGATATAAACACGGTCGTGATTGGCCACAGTGACTGGAAATAATACTTATGCAATATGCACAGTTTAAAATAAAACCTTTTCACCGTTATCGATCATAATAAATTCTTTTTACTATGTTTTATTTCAGCTCCGACAAGGTTGGGCGTAATCATCTCCACGGACAGAATGACATCAACCGACACATTTGGGCTTTAGACACTAATCAAATTGTTAATGTATGTTATCCCGATCCATCAAATGTTTTAAGTAAAAGTACACCACACAATATAAATTCTGTTTTGAATTACCATCGGAAATATGTGGGCTAAACTAAACTAGTACATGTAATATATGTTCATTTTAATAACGTTTAAACTCGTATAATTGTACTAGTAATACGTGTTTACTTACGTAACGTGTAAACGTGTTTTACTACTATATAACGTACTGCTTTGAAAAGTATTCTTGGTGTCCTGTATTTGTGGAAAGCTTGTTGACCTAGATTGAACAATTCTGTATAAAAAAAAAAACACGAAAATAGCAGGTTGTGCACCATTTGGGAGCGGGCCCCGTATGTACTCGTCAACGTGTGTAGTGTGACATTACTCGCCAAATCATTAGTCCTTATTTAAGTGGTATAAGTATTATATATGCATGCGCTAATAATATGGTATTATTGGTATTTGCTTTACACATACGATATGGTATGTGAATTACACGTACGATGTGGTATGTGAATTACACGAATAATATGGTATGTGAATTACACGTACGATATGGTATGTGAATTACACGTACGATATGGTATGTGAATTACACGTACGATGTGGTGTGTGAATTACACGAACAATATGGTATGTGAATTACACGTACGATGTGGTATGTGAATTACACGAACAATATGGTATGTGAATTACACATACGATATGGTATGTGAATTACACGTACGATGTGGTATGTGAATTACACGTACGATATGATATGTGAATTACACGTACGATATGGTATGTGAATTACACGTACGATGTGGTATGTGAATCACACGTACGATGTGGTATGTGAATTACACGAACAATATGGTATGTGAATTACACGTACGATGTGGTATGTGAATTACACGAACGATATGGTATGTGAATTACACGTACGATGGGTATGTGAATCACACGTACGATGTGGTATGTGAATTACACGAACAATATGGTATGTGAATTACACGTAGGATGTGATATGTGAATTACACGAACAATATGGTATGTGAATTACACGTACGATATGGTATGTGAATTACACGAACAATATGGTATGTGAATTACACGTACGATATGGTATGTGAATTACACGTACGATATGGTATGTGAATTACACGAACAATATGGTATGTGAATTACACGTACTATATTGTATGTGAATTACACGAACAAAATGGTATGTGAATTACACGTACGATATGGTATGTGAATTACACGAACAATATGGTATGTGAATTACACGTGCGATATGGTATGTGAATTACACGTACGATATTGTATTTGAATTACACGAACAATATGGTATGTGAATTACACGAACAAAATGGTATGTGAATTACACGTACGATATGGTATGTGAATTACACGAACAAAATGGTATGTGAATTACACGGAAAAAATGGTATGTGAATTACACGTACGATATGGTATGTGAATTACACGAACAATATGGTATGGGGATTACACGTACGATATGGTATGTGAATTACACGAACAATATGGGATGTGAATTACACGTACGATGTGGTATTTGAATTACACGAACAAAATGGTATGTGAATTACACGAACAAAATGGTATGTGAATTACACGTACGATGTGGTATGTGAATTACACGAACAATATGGTATGTGAATTACACGTACGATATGGTATGCGAATTACA